CCTCATCCACTGGAAGATGTCTTCTCCAGGAAAAGTACAAATATTCCTGGGATTGTGCATCCTGTCTCACCACTGATGTGGCTGGATTAAATTGTTTTGCTGTGCCTCAGTTTCTTGAGGTACCCTTCCACCACAAGAGAAAGTACTAACTGTCCTGTTTATTAATTCATTGAAACTCCTGCAAAAGATGGACTGTACTATCAAATGCTTCCTAAACTAAAAAAAAAAAAGTTGTTTACCTAGCAGAAAGAAACTTTAAAAACAGTAACAACTGAGAAAAGCCTTGTCTGAACGAAATGAGAACTCTGCAAAGGTTGCCTTGGTCCCTAGACCAAGCTTTTCTGTTATTCTACTGTATCTCAGCACAGATCTAAAAGCTCTGACAGAGGATCAAGTTCCTGCAGTTAAACAAAGTCACRAGGAACAGCTCAGGTGAAATTATTTTGGGGCAATTCACCAGAACTCAACTTTGGCTACGGCTGTCTCACGTGAATCAGCAGGAACACCTTGAATATTGGGGGTTTTATGTCCAGGAAAGGCTTAGAAAACACAGAGAGAGGCAGTGGTGGCCCAGGTGACACCAACATCTCCACCTGTGCTGAGTTCTCCTGGCATCAACACAGCTCAAAGGATTTGGCTGAAAGTTCACTCCAGAGCTGCTCACCCACCCCTTTGTGCAAACTGCACCGACACAGCCTTGCAGGGGAAACCTAAAAGAGGGAAACTTGCCTTTTGAGAGCCTCCTGGGCACCTGGCACAGCCGAGTCCTCGACGTGGAGGGTTCCATTGAGATCCACCAGCACGGCTTTGAGCGCGCGCCGCGCCGACATCCTGACCCTGGGARAGAGAGAGAGAAACTCAGACAGCAGCACCCAGGGGCTCAGAAAAACACCTGACAGTGCCAAACCTGCTGTGACTCACAACACCACTCACAGTGTGAAATGGGCCCCTCGGACAGGGGGATAAAAGGCAGAGTTTAGAAAAAAAATACACGTAATTGATGGAGCGGTGCGGATTTTTTTCCCCCCCCAAAGATTCTGTCTGTGGAAATCAGGTGCTGGCTGTTCTTTAAGTGCATCAAATAAAAAAAATTAAACTCTCTGAATGACTCAAGGGTACTGGGAAGAGGGTCARTAGGTCCAGGATTGCTGGCCCAAAGCCCCAGCAAGAATATTTCAGCGAGTCCCACCAACACCAGCTTGGAAAATRAAGACACAGTGCTCTGGCTGTAAAGCTCAAAACGCTCTGCCAAAGTGGGTATCGTTGATTTTAATTTTGTAAGTGAGACCTCGAGTGATGCAGCCACACCACAGCCACTCTGAGGCTGCTCAGCAGTGACAGCAAGGAATTTGCAGATCTTTAGCCTGGAAGCACTCAGGGCTCATGGATATCCAGCACCTTGAAGGGGCAGCAAGGCAGTTTTTATGTGTGAGACTCAGTCCAAAATGAAAGCCAGCGTTTGAAGGGTAAAGGCACCAGGGAAGGAAATTGAGAGGTGATGTTTGAGTCACCTGGCTGAAAATCTGTCTCCAGAAACAAACACTGCCCCTCACGCRTGCTGCAAGTGCTGCACTTTGCTCCATTAGCAAGTCTGATGAGCATTTCTCAGAAAATGGCCAGTGCACCTCCAATGCAGCAAAACTTTCTCCTGTTCATTAGACAACCATCCGAAAAGACCGAGAGAATTGGGATTGGAGAATGGAAGCTTTGGGATAACCTGACTGTGGCCTTCCAGTACCTGAGGGAGCTGACAGAAAAGATGGAGAGGGAATATTTACCAAGGGACTGCAGGGACAGGACACAGGGAATGGCTTGGCAGTGCCAGAGGGCAGGGATGGATGGGATATTGGGAAGGAATTGCTGTCTGGGAGGGTGGGGAGGCCCTGGCACAGGGTGCCCAGAGCAGCTGTGGCTGCCCCTGGATCCCTGGCAGTGTCCAAGGCCAGGCTGGACATTGGGGCTGGGAGCAGCCTGGGACAGTGGGAGGTGTCYCTGCCCATGGCAGGGGTGGSAYKGGWTGAGYTTTWAGGTCCCTTCYSACCCAACCCATTCTGTGATCTCCCAGCACTATGAGCGGTCACAATTTTGTGTTCAGCTGGTTTGGCCACAGACAACACGCAGCATGTTTGTACTTCAAAAAAGTTAACACCGTGATGGGAACCTGCCCTAATAAATCTGTATCAGTTTTATCTTCGCAGYTTTATAAATGGTCGTGTGAGCCTGGTGTCTCAGGTACGTGACACACACACGACAGGAAGCTTTGAGATTCCACTATCATTTTTCCTGCTGACTCTCTGCAACAAGAAAATAAATAAAAACGCTTCTTCTATGATACATCTGTTGATACAAAAGCCAAAGTTAAATGTTAATGATACACAGCTGAAAACAGAACTCCTAAAGGAGCTTAATAAATTCCAGGGGAAATAATATTATTATTACTATTGTTATTATTACTACTATTATTATTACTGTTACCCTACATGTGCATCGGTCCTGCTGTTCACACCGTATTTATCTGGGAAATATGGAAGTTATCTGCAAAGCGTTTTCAGCACAGCCGAATTTTAAGGATAAAGCTCATGGACAGGCGAGGAAGTTCTTAAAAGCYCCCCAAAACCTCAGTTTTCACAATCACACCCCAAAGAAAACTCACCTTGTGAGGCCAAAGGGACCCCCCCCGCCCTGGTCTCTGGGACAAGGACACGAGGAACACAAGACACAACCTAAGGGAACCTAAGGGAAAGAGGGATATATTCTATAACAATATCTATGAATATTTATGTGCCTCGATGGAAGGAAGTACACAGCACCCGAGTGCCATCGCCGTGCCCTCCCGTCCCACTAAACCCCGGTCCGCACCCCCGCCTGCCGGGGTGGTACCGCCCCTTCCCGCCAGCTCACAGCGCGCACACAGGCCGGCCCATTCTCTACCGGGGGAGTCCCCAGCGCGGCGAGCTCCCCTTTCCCCGCGCAGATGGTTCCGCCCGCGCGTTGGCGGCCCGAGGCGYTGGACGCGCCCACGCGGAGCGGCGGGGGGAGCGGAGCGGCGCTGAGCGGCTYCCCCGGCCCTGACCTGCTCCTGCTCCCGCCGCCGCCGTTCCTGCGCTGTGCCCGATCCCCGCGGGTCCTGTGGGGCCGCAGCCGCCCCGCCCTGTGCCGGGCCCGCCCGCCGCCAGCRCGGAAAATTAAATATATCATACAATGGTTATGGTTATGAAGAACACCGAGCTCGGCCCGCCGCCCTCCTGCCGCCCTCGGCGCCCGGCATTGGGGACAGGCAGCGCGGGGGACAGCCCGGGGGCCTGCGGGCACGGGGCGGRTCGACACGGGTATAAATTGTATATATTACACCTGTTCTGTACATTATATCCCTGTTATTATACCTGTTATGGCCTCTTTATTCTATATACCCAGTTTATAATCATGTCCTATGTGGATATTATCCTAAATCATATAAATTATATCCTTTATATCCTATATGGATGTTTCTATCCATGTCCATACATCAACGATATCCATAACTCATATGCCATGAACATATCACTAATTTGTATATATATATATATATAACTCATATGTCATGAATATATCATTAATTTGTATGCCCTATGGATATTATATGTAATCATGTATTAACATACCGATATTGTTTTATATGTATGTATACATATTTAAAAGCTACATACAAAGGATGTTATCATATCCACATATGGATAAATTATATCCATAAGATCTGAATATATTTATATAAAAGGATATAGATATACAGGATATTGTGAAGAAATTCTTCCTGTTATATAATTAAATATATTAAACTATATCCGCTATATCCACATATACTTATTCTATCCACATATGAACATATCCAATATCTACTTATTCTATCCATATATGAACATATATTGTTAATACCTATATGAATATTATTTTGATTATATAAATTTTAATCTATACAATGTATCAATGTAATATATAGTTTTATTAGCTATTATTGTTTGTATCAATCTGTATAATAACTTTATTTTGCACGTTCCCTGTTTYTGCAGCACCCAGCCGGGTTGAGCTGCAGCGGAGCTGTCCCAGAAGCGCAGGACGCCACACGAGGGGACAGCAGTGCGATTATTCCCCGGCCATCTCTCACCTCCCCTGCTCATTACCTGCAGATCTGATCCTCGGCTGCTGCCCCACTTTGAATCGCTATTTTTCATCTGTCAGGTGAAATTTGTCCCAGTTTTGTCTCCAGCACGGGATTCCCGCTGCTCCTTCTCCCTGCACGTGCTCTGCCCTTGTGCTGGGAGCCACGCTGGGCCTGCAGCCCCTCTGAAAGCACACGGASAGGGGGGAAATCACTTTTCACTTTTGTGAAATCACTTTTTCGTTTGTGTAAAGCTGCTGCTTGCAATCTTTAGTACTGGCTTTTATTTCAGTAAGAAACACATTGTTTGAACAGCCAACAGATGTGAAWATGGAATTACAAACAAGCTGTGCTTCAGATCATCCAGCACTCTCAGTGCCACAGCATGGAAACATCAACCACTGCTTTTCTTTCAAAAAAAATTTCATAGGAATACAAAATATCCCCCCCCACACACACTGCCCCATTTCCATGAGACAGATCTGTGAGAACAACTGTACCCTCGTCACCTCTGATTTACACAAAGATYATCATAAAGAAATTATCTCTAACAGATCCAAATGTTTCAAAATTTAAAGATCCTATTCTGCCTCAGGACAATGTTACCACGTCTCATTGGGTTTGCTACATAAATCAAAACACAGCTTCACAGTAGAGATGATACCAAAGTGCCACAGGGATGAGGATAAAAAACATGTATTTCATGTAAGAGCAGTAACTCTGGCCTCTGGAAAACAGGATGAAGCAGAGTTTTGAGATATCCCCACTGTACAGAGAGAGAGAGTGAGTTAGGAAAGAGTGCTTAACTTGGAAATTGAGGATTTATTTACAAAAATTACTGCGAAAAAAGGAAACGACATAAAACTCTCCTCATGGATATACTTTACTCTGGGAAAAACTGTGATTGAAGATCATTAAATGCATTTACATGTTTTACAGATTCTTCTTCATRTACAACAGCATATACTTTAGTAATCAAGATGTCAGGAGAAGAGCTGATCAACTAAGCTCCTTTAAAATAACTGAAAATAAAATAAAACTGCCAGGTTTCCCTTGGCCTCCCCTCTGTAAAAATTAAGGTTAAACAATTTAGCTGAGGAACAGAGAACTTMAACTTTTCTAAAAAGATACATGAGAATCCCCTTTTTGAATTCAGACCCAACTCAGCAGTCTGAATTGAGCTAAGACCTGTACCAAAGCAATTAGGAACATTCTCTGCGACAGAACTGCAAAGTCACACACCCAGTTTCACTTTCAAAGTTGTTAATTTAACAAATGATGATGGAGGGCAGGGAAAGGCGCACTAACAGAAGAAGCTAAAAATCTGCAGGTTTTTCACAAAGAAATGCATTTGAAAAGCACATGGTATTCACCTCCTGTGGTATTCCCCTCCCACGTTTCCCGAGAGCTCGGAATACAAATGGCTCCCTACTACAGTAATTACCACGTAGAAGTTTAACACAAATTTTAAAAAGTATAATAATAATCCTTGACAGAAGAGTAACAAATGCTAATCACTAATATCCCCAAAGTTAACATAAGAGTTGCCCAGCTTTAGGAACAGCTTTTCAAAAATTTTTTTAGAAAATTTTTTTTTTAAATTTTGCACTGCAATTGCACCCATTTACAACTGACTTTACCATCAGTATCAAATACTGATTTGAAGACAAAAATCCCCAATCAAAGCAGGAAAATTCAGCTTTCAATGTTCACCTGAATCAGGACTTTACCCAGCTGGTTTTATCTCCCTCCATATCACAGCTGGACTTCAATCCTTTAWAGCAATTATCCTTTATAACACATTTTCAGAGCCTAATTTATATTCTCTTTAACATTTCCATGGTAGTAACTGAAATGAAAACAAACACATTGTTGTCTTCCTCAATTTAAAAACAAATTGGAGAGCGTACTGAAGGAAATTCATCCCTGAGTAACRAGACATTTAAAAGCTGCATCCTATTGCCAGTCACTGCAACATCCTATGACATTTACTCTAATAATTAACACTAAACAGGCAGCAACAGAACTGGTCACAGTCCAATGTGTTTGCAGTGTTGTTGCATTGATCCCGTGATCCTGCTTAAGGAAACTGCAAGGGAACATTAGGAAAGGGGATAAATAGAAACAGTGTCTTTTATTATTTTAAGTTGGATGTCAGATTGACAGCTAAACTGTGCTGGATCCCAGGAAACTCAGAGYAGTGGTGGTCAGCAACTGGCTTCTTTGGATGTCCAAGGGATTTTCACCGGGTGTCTTCAACCAAACAACAGGAGCAGGATGATTGTGATGGAGTTCAGGGCTATTAATGGCACTGTAAAGAGAAAAAAAAATTGATTAGTGAAAATTTTCCTTTCCACATCACAAAATGACAGAGCTTCAAATAATCTTGGGTGAACACCTTGGGAGAAGGAGCAGCATCAATCAGAAGTTTAGAAATACACTTAATTTTCCTATGCAAAGTTGGGACCAGTGGAAGGAGCCAGGTTCAAATCCTAGGATAGTAGACATTAGTAGGAAGCAATAGCAGAAGTGTTTTCCCACAGCCTGTTWTAACTTTAACCCAGAGCCTTTAGTTCTAACTTTAACACAAATAACTCTTTTTGCAAATGAAACGAAACCCAAAAGTCAGTTTCCATCTTCAGCTTTCCTGTGTTTTAGAATAAATGTTTTGGTTTTCACTCAGTGGTGGGCAAGACAGGTTAAGATTTGTTATTTTCTCTCTATCATCATCTACTAAAGGAATTTTTGGTGTCCTTCATAATGAAGTACCACCAGTAAATTACAAATTAAGTATATTTTTCTCTCCATCTTTTGAGGCATGTAAGCCTGTCTTGCCTTTCAGAAACCCCAGAATTACATTTCCCTCATYGGGTACTTGCCATAAAACTGGATTTAGACAAGGTGATGCTAAYTGCACACTTTGTTTATCACCAAGCTTCCTCCCAGCTGCTGAACTCCAAGGAAAGGCAAGGCTCACCAGGAGCAACATAAGCCAGAGTCACGGAATGTTTTCACACTTTTACCAAAATTAGGGCACTTTAGGTGACACCTGCAGAATCCTAGAGTCCAGGCCCAAAGAAAGTATAGATTAATGCARAAACAAAACATTACAGATTCTAGTAGTAGTAGTATTAGTAATAATAATAATATCTTGTGCCCTTACCTCTCATAACGGTTCGTATTGATCGAATCAGGTTTGTCAGCTGTGCTTTAATTCCTGGTTCCTCTCCAAATCCTCCAATTCCTTGATCACTTCCCCAGCCAACTGTGTCACATAAAACCAGACACACACATTAGAAAAAAACCCCAAAACCGCACAACAAATGCTGTAATATTAACAAGAAATCTATCCTGAATATAGCTTATATTAGCAYAGACAGCCCAATTAGTCTTATTTCATGAGCAGATTTTAATGCAATGGACTAAAAACTTTTAAACCTCATGTGAAGTGATGACAAATCCACATTTCTGTAAAGAAAACCCTCACCTTTTTAACACACCATTGTACCCTGCATGCCCAGAGTAACACATGAGTTCATCTGGGCTTAAAAAAACGAAGTTGTCAAAATAAAATCAAACCAATAGCAATCTGTTCATCATCTTGAAAATAAAATAGCAAATAATCGCTGCAGGTAAAGTTTTAGCACTGAGAAAGGGGCCACACGACAGAAAAATGGCCAGCACAATTTCCAAAATGAGGGTGATGATTTTTGCAACTGCTTTAAAAAAAAAAAAGAACTTTCGAAAAAAATATTGGTAACTTTTCTCAGCGCAACCTAAGTTCTGAAGTTTTACAATGCCTGGACACAGAATGATGGGACCAGGGAGGTATCTAGGGATTTCCACGGGCTGCTTGTCACAGCCCTTACCATTTTGGGGATGAGAAGAGCAAGGAGCAGTTCTCAATAGTCCAGGCTCCACTGCCCAACCTGTGTGCTTCTGTATTTCAGGGACCACTTTTGAGTAATTTTTGTTCCCGTTAATGGTCTCCCTCGCTCAGCTGGCACCACGCTGAGTGTGGTGGGCGAGTCCTCTCCCTCACCAGCCTTGCCAGCTGCTGCTCCCCACTGGGATGAGCCTGGAGCTATTCCCAAGTCTCACAAAGCTGAAAAGTGGCTTCATCCATCCCATTAGTCCCCACATCTCCCTTTTTTATCTTCCAGCTGCTCGTCAGGAAAGCAAAAGGAAACCCCAGACCCAAACTGAGCAGATGCCTTGAAGGGAACCCAACTGGGGAATGGGGGAAAGGAATCYCCCTCTGCACTCTTGCCAAAAATTCTGGTTCTGCCTGACGTGGAGGAGTCAGGATTCTCCCCACCAGTGAAAAAAGAACGTGGATCATTGGCCATGTTTTTCCCGCAGCTTTGCAGATCTTTGCATCGGTGGATTTTCTTTGTTTTATAGGGCTTTGGTTTCTTTTGAAGGGCGAGGACACCCAGCCCTAGGGATCCCATAGACCGAGAGGCGCCATCGCATAAAAAACCAGGCACAAAAGGAAGAAAACCTTTGCACGACACCAAACATTCTGACGCGCGGCACGAAGGGGAGGGAAATAGTTAAAAATGGACAGGGGAAAAGGGCAATTATGGGGGGGGGGGGGAAGAGAGGGACAAAGCTACGACGGGATCCGCCGGGAATTCACCCCCAAAGCCCAAACCCAACCCCAAACGCCACCCCCGTTCGCTGATGCGCCCACCGGCAGGGACCAGCGGCGGGGGCCGCGGCCACCGCGTTCCCCCTCCAGGCCGGGCGGCCCTCCCAGCTCACCGTGGCGGAGGAAGCGCTCCTCGTGCAGCACGGCCACGGCGTTGACGATGAGGAGCGAGGCCTGCAGCAGCGAGTAGAGCGTGAACGCCATTGCCCGGCGGGGCGGAGCGGAGCGGGGCGGGACCGGCACCGGGACCGTGAGCCCGAGCGGGAGCGGCGCCCGACAGAGACGTGGCGGGGCCGGGGGCGTGGCCTCCCCTCACGGCTCGGAGGGGCGGGGCTTCTGTGGGGGCGGGGCCTCTCCGCGGACTCTGGTTGGCTGCGCATCGAGGGGGGCGGGGCTTAGAGGGGCGTGGCCATTGGGAGGCGCGGTCCGTGGCGCCCGATCCATCGGGGGCGTGGCTTCGTGGGGGCGTGGCCTCTGAGGGGGCGTGGCCTCCGTCTCCCGGAGCCGTGTCCCATTCCSCGCTCCGCCGCGGATCCCTCGGGAYTCGGATCCCTGAGAATCCCCCGGTTCCGTCGGAACCCTGTGCATCGCTCGATCCCTGCGTCTCTCAGAGCCCCGKGGATCACTGCCTGTGCCTTGGATCTCTTGGAGGCTCTTGGTCCGCTGGATCTATGGATCCCTCCGGTCAATGGATCACTTGGAGCCCTGTGGATCCCTCGGTTCCGTGGATCCCTCGGAACCCCGTGGGTCCCTCGGAGCCCCTTGGGTCCATTGGATCYGTGGATCCCTCGCGTCCATGGATTCTTTGGAGCCCTGTGGAGCCCTCAAGTCCGTGGATCCCTCAGAACCTCGTGGGTGCCTCCGAGCCCCTTGGGTCCATCAGGTCCGTGGATCCCTCGGGTTCATGGATTCCTCGGAGCCCTGTGGGTCCATCAGAGCCCCTTGGGTTCCTCAGATCCGTGAATCCCTTTGGTCTGTGGATCCCTTGGAACCTCGTGGATCCCTCGGGTCCATGGGTCCTTCAGAGACCTGTGGATCCCTTGGGTCCGTTGATCCATCAGAACCTCTGGGGGTCATTGGGTCCATGGATCCCTCGAGTCCCTGGATCCCTTGGAGCCCCATGGGTTCCTAGGAACCCCTTGGGTCCATCGGATCCATGGCTCCCTCGGGTCCATGGATCCCTCGGAGCCCCTTGGTTCCCTCAGGTCCGTGGGTCCTTCAGAGCCCCGTGGATTTCTCAGGTCCGTGGATCTGTCGGAGCCCCATGGACCTCACAGCGCAGGCTGTGACCTGGGAAGCTCCGTCGCCGTGGCCTTTGGATTCAGAGCAGGATAAAGCTCATCCTCCTCCTCCTCTGTCGGTATCGGGGGTAATGTGGCATCTCCCGGTGGCGAGGGCCGGCAGCGAGGAATCGCCTGGCGTGGGGCAGCCCTTGTGGCCATCCATCATCAGCAATCTCATACCAGTAAACTTAATAAAAAACCATGAACACTGCAAATGCAAAAATACAACAGTTTATACTTATATTTAATCTTATGGACAACGCATCTTTTTCCCATGTGTTTTCTCAGTACACTGGTTTTTCCTTATATCCTGACTAAGAAGGTCAGCCCAGATCCCAAATGCGGTTTGTCCAACACGTAGCGCTCTGGAACCCAAAGCAGGATCCAAAAGAAAACAATTATCTTTTAGACAGGATTGATCAGGGCTCCTCGGCAGTTCCGCAGTCAAATAACAAAATAATAACAACTGGAGCTCAGGGATACTGTATCYGTGCTGTAGTTATTGTAGTCCTGTRGTTATCCCTGTGTTGTAGTTACAGAGTTATCCCTGTATAGTTATTCACAAGCAAATAGACTTTTTTTTTTCCCTTTGCCTCTTTCAGTCTGATTGGCTGAAGGGAGGGGATGATTTGCATAATCCCTCCAATTTTATTTCTCAGCAATCATACAATACACAAACCCCTTRACTCCGGATGGTTGGTAGCTTTTATTACTCAATCAGGGCACAATGATTTGCATAATCACTGCCTTTCGATGTTTGTTAGACCCGTGGTAACTTTGTGCTCAGGGTGGTGGGCTGGACAGACTCCATCTCGATTCTCTGCCCTGCCACAGAATTGTGACATAATCCAGGCAAATTATTCATTATTTATCAATATTGTGTCTCCATGCTCTCCGTGAAGATCCGCGCGCCAGCAAGTGAGGATCTGATACTTCAGCAATTAATTAATTACGTGTCAGGAGTAAATAAACAATGGATGTTCAGATACCKCATTAATCAGCTGTGAAGAAACCCCCAGCTCTGCCTCTCCTCATGTTTGTCTTCCCTTGCCAAAACACCCACTTTGGTGTAGTCAGTGAAACAATACTATGAATAATCTTATTAATCATTATTATTAAATAACACTACATTCTAATAACTGCAACTGGAGGAAAGATAAAGCACCCCACCACCAAAACCATAGCATAGTTTCTTCACAATTTACTGCCAAAATTACTGCTGTTAAGTAAGTGAGATAGAATAGAGAACAAAAATCAAGCAGGTTCATCAGAGCTTTGTCATCTGGTCAAAAGTATTTGTCATTTCAGCCTCAGAAAGGAATATAGTCTCAATTCAGGATAGTGACTAAAGCACCTATTGCAGTTCCAGTGAGCTCAATATTCTTTAAGCCTATACTGAAGTATTTGCTTACATGAAAATTATTTTTTTCCTCCAAATGATGACTTTGATTCTGGTAACTCTTATGTCTATGATTATCTTCACTTGATAAATCAGCAGTTCATGGGAGTCTCGAGTGCACTGACACATGTGAGCACACACTTGTAGGATCAGGAGTTCCAACAAAGCTGCTTCATTTCTCATCTAGATTTTTCAATTTGCTATCACTGCACAACTCCTAAAAAACAYAATTTTAACATTTTCAATGGAGCCATTTCTAGTTGCCCAGAAGCCCCAAAATTTGAGGTGTTTATGATTCAAATCACCCTTTTCCATCTGTAAATAATAATAAAAAAAAATGCTTATCTTTTTTTTTTTTTTTTTACCAAACTCTATACAGGCAGAGAAAGTCAATATTGGGCTGAAAAGTTGCTTACCAAATGTGACTAATAATTTTTGAGAAGTTCTGGGTGGTGGCATTTGATGGTGTCACAAACAGAACTGTCTTTTGTCCTCAGACAGAACTCAGGGCATTACAGCAGTGATTCTATAATTAAAAACAGATGAATRTGGGGGTCACTAAGATAGATATCTAATAACCACTTTTATCAAGTAGCATTTCCTGGGCTACCTCCTTACAGTATCCAACCAGTAAATAAATGCTAACCTCAGTCAAGAGCTAATGCTTAGAGTTATGGCCCTGAAAAAAAAAATGAGGTTTTTGCAGTAAGTATACAAGTTATGGCCCAGTATTTTTACCCATAATTAAGATGTATTTCCAAAGAGCAGCCGCCATCGAGCTGACATAAACTTGACATGATTTTCCCCTTAGTAAAATCCATCATGGCAACTTAGCAACCACATGAGTCTTATCTCTGAATCATCACATTACGTGGTTGAAGGGAAAACCAGATAAAGTTGCTTGCATTAGAAGGAAAGGGGCTTTTTCTTTTTTTTCTTTTTTTTTTTTTGCTTCATTAAGGTGTTGTGTTTCAGTACAGTAAATTCCTGCARTGTCATCTGCAGGGTGCAGTCAATCACCATAAAGGAGAGTTTTAAACCACCCTGCAGATGTCAAAGGATTAAACTTCAGGCTGGTGAAGTATTGTGAAGGCACTGGTGTTTTTCACTCTCATTTTGTCGTTCAATATTCTCAGACAGAGCCCTTTCCATGGCTATTGCTGTCCCCTGCACTTGATGAGAATCAAACTTGCACCTTGGGAGTTCTCAGGGTTAGCTGAGTTTAATCCTGGTGAGAAAATGCCAGGACAAAGGAAGAGCTGTTGTGACTTCAGCTCCTGTGCCCTTCACCTCATTTGTCACCAGCATCTTCTGACTTTATTCTCTGAATTAGCTTTAACCATTCCCTTCTTTAGACATCCACGTATCAGTAAGAACATTTCAGGGACACGGGAAAGGCTGGAAATTGGCCCCAACAATCCCAAGCTGGAAGGGAGGAAACACGTTTTGCTGGTGGCAACTTTTTTACAGATTCCTACTGGGACTTCATTAACTGAAAAACTTTGTGTYAATGAAAAAAGTTAGGTTCTGTGGCTCAGCGAGGTGCTGTAGATAAATCCAATAACTAAATTTCAGAGTTAGACTAAAGCCTTTGTCATCCCTTACTCATCACACCTATAGCCCTGTCGAAGAGCTGTAAAGGTTAATGGTGCACCCCACTGACGTAACACAGACTTGGTAAACTCAAATTGAGTGGCCAGTCTGATGTCAAGATGGGATTTTATTCASTCACCAAAGCTGGAAATTCAATAAGGTTTTGCACATTTGGGATAACCATGTGTCTGGTCCCTAGCTGTCAGCAGCTTTGTGCAGAAAAGATCCTTGCCCTGTCCATGACTCATAGGTCACCTCTGCCCTCGCTTGTTTGAGAAGTGAACAGCCACCCCTGCAAAAACACAGCCTGACAGCCTTTCTGGGGTTTGAGAGGACATTAAGAGGGCTTCATGTACAAAAGGACTTCCTGGGGACTGAGGAACAAGATGGAAAACAATGCACGGTTTTGGATTTACACCTAAATTCGTTGATGCTGTTTTCCTGAGTTATTTGACTCCGTAACCATAACAGCCTTTAAATGTCATTTGTTGCCTGATTCTCTCTCTCTCACAGACACAGACACAGACACAGATACAGATACAGATACAGATACACAGATGCTGTTGTTCATCTTGTTATCACCAAGAGCACAGCACTGTCATAGAATCACAGAATGGTTTGAGCTGGGAGGCAGCTGAAAGATCATGTCTGTGGCATGACATCGTTCTGCTATTGTTGGCAGTGTTTGTGCTGCRTTTGTGCTGGAATACACCAGTCCAGAGCCAAATCCTGTCATGCTCAGTACCATGCAGATATTTTTCAGAGGCAGGCATAGGGATTTTCCAATCCATRTCTCAGCTGGAAGACGGTGGATATCAAAAGCAGGCCAACGTGGGGAGCGGGGCAGCAAGGAAACAAATGGATTTTTTTCAGGGAATTACAAGTCTCTGCTTAGCCCTGCCTCACTGCTGACAGACAGGCWGGATTTTCAGGCAGGGAGGCAGCAGAGAGTCTTAGGGAGGGATTTAGAGGATGGGGAAACAGCTCCATGAATTTTGAAAGGTGGGGGATTTAGTCTCTGCGCAGTGAGCAGCATGAAG